GCCCAAACTTGGACACAACGCCCAACCGCCACATATGCCCATCACCGCTTCCGCGACGAGGTCGAAGCCTCTCCTGATGTGGACGGTAGTCGAGCGCATCAACGCGGAAGCGGGAGCAAACCTCATGAAAACTTGCTTCAGTATCTGTGGCGACTTTGACATATTGGGCACATCTGTTGCTGTCCTTAGGTTCAGACTCCTATGCTTATGGACACCAGTCCCTAATGCCCACATTGCCCACCACTCGTTCCGCGACGAGGTCGAGCCTGACGTCATGTGGGACGGTAGCGGGCGCATCAACGCGGTAAGCGGGGCCATTGTAGACACCACCTCGGGCTGAATGTGGAGGTGTAGCACCTTAATCTCATCTGGGCACTTGCATTTTGTGTCCTGTAGGAGCGCACTGCTTATGACACCACGCCCAATGCCCACATTGCCCACCACTCGTTCCGCGACGAGGTCGAGCCTGACGTCATGTGGGACGGTAGCGGGCGCATCAACGCGGTAAGCGTGGCCATTGTAGACACTGAATGTAGGTGTAGCACCTTAATCTCATCTGGTCACTTGCATTTTGTGTCCTGTAGGAGCGCACTGCTTATGACACCACGCCCAATGCCCACATTGCCCACCACTCGTTCCGCGACGAGGTCGAGCCTGACGTCATGTGGGACGGTAGCGGGCGCATCAACGCGGTAAGCGGGGCCATTGTAGACACTGAATGTAGGTGTAGCACCTTAATCTCATCTGGGCACTTGCATTTTGTGTCCTGTAGGAGCGCACTGCTTATGACACCACGCCCAATGCCCACATTGCCCACCACTCGTTCCGCGACGAGGTCGAGCCTGACGTCATGTGGGACGGTAGCGGGCGCATCAACGCGGTAAGCGTGGCCATTGTAGACACTGAATGTAGGTGTAGCACCTTAATCTCATCTGGTCACTTGCATTTTGTGTCCTGTAGGAGCGCACTGCTTATGACACCACGCCCAATGCCCACATTGCCCACCACTCGTTCCGCGACGAGGTCGAGCCTGACGTCATGTGGGACGGTAGTGGACGTGTCGTTGAGGTTGGGTTTTTTTTTTTTTTTTTTTTTTTTTTTTTTTTTTTTTTTTTTTTTTTTTTTTTTTTTTTCTTTATGAATTGGGGTTTGTACTGCTCCTTGGGGAGGATCCTTTGATCTCAAGTTTTGCGGGCTGTACTCTTCAGGTTCGTCCGGATATCGACACAACGCCAAATAAGAACATCCTTTATCATTCCTTCCGAGACGAGGCGAACCCCGAGACAGCCTGGAATGCGAGTGGTCGCCTTGATCAGGTATAGCGTGGCCATGAGCTACTCATCACAGACGCCAGCACAAGCCTCCGCCAGCACAAGCCTCACTTTTCAATTACCGATGTTGCATCCAGGTTCGCCCAGATGTAGATACAACTCCGAATCGACACATCTCGCATCACAGCTTTCGTGATCAAGCCAATGTCGACGTCGCGTGGGACATTAATGGCCACTACGAAGCGGCAAGTTGATGCGTGCACGCCACGTTTGGGTTTCATGTTTCTTGATGTTGCCGAAGGTGGTTAAACCCACAAGCTCACTCTTTGCACATTGTTGAAACTCCAGGAACGCCCGCAGCTTGATACCACCCCAAATCGCCACATCGATCATCACAGATTCCGCGACGAGCCTAGCGATGACGTTTTTTGGGACGCATCGCCCAAAGTATCTCAGGTTGGTGTTTCACCTTGCATTACCCGCCTACCGTTCCCTTTGACATCACTCTCTGTCCCAACTTTCTTACTTTTTGAACAACTCTTGCCTTGGTGGGCCCGACAGAGTGATACTTACGAGACCACACCCAACAAGCACACGGCACTTCATTCTTTCCGAGATGAAGCTCACCCGGAGGTGTTCTGGGATGCATCCTCACGTCTGAAATACGTGAGTTCACCTTGGTTCTGTGTGCACACTCAATCGCGAGCGTTGACTCTTACACGGTTTGGCTGGTTCTATACGTTTGTTTGTTTTTTTAAAAAAACTGCAGGATGATGTCAAGACCGACGTCACCCCTTTGCCAAATCATCCCGATCAACATCGTTTCCGCGATTTGGATGCTGCTGCTGACCACGCTTGGGACACGTCAACACGCTCTGCTCCGGTACGTTTGACACCAAAAGTGCTTTATCGCCGCTCTGTGCCCTCTATACGCCCCCCCCCTTGTTTTCCCGCCGACGTCGATTTACATTTTATCAAAAACGAACTTGCAGGTGGAGACTGTCATGGACACAACACCGCTGGGGCGGCACCCCGACCTTCACAATTTTCGTGTGGTTGATTCGGAGCAATACTGGGACATTTCCACAAAGGTGGGTCTACATCGGAGGCGGCCATATGCTCGGCCCAAACCTTTTCCTGGACAGCAAGCAAAAACCGGAGCTTGACTTAAATTTGCTTTTCACAACACCGACTTGTTATGCTTGTTTGCAGGTTGCACCAACGGACGAGCTGCAGCAGGAGCGTGTCAAGGCCAGCATCGCCGTTCGTCGCTCATCTGAGCCACTTTCTGCCCAAGTGGCCAAGGTTGGTGACTGCCTTCGTCAGTCATTAGGCTCTGGCCAGGTTCACTTGACTCATTTGTGATCTTTCGTCCTACAGTTTCAGTTTCGCAAGACGGAAGCGATTACTGGATCCGGTTGGAACATCAGCACCCGCGTCAATGCCGCGTACATGCCGAGCATTGATAGTGCTGGAAACATGCCCCGCTCTCGCCCGACCTCCGCCTCAGCTGTGCGTCGACCTGCGCCGCGATCACCTGCTCTCATCCGCACACCGCACCGAGCGCCGACACGTGCAACAAGGTCGGCACCTGCGACCCAGGCTCGACCGGCAAACGTGCGTGTAGCGCAACGTGGGTCACCGGCTGCTAAGACCATCAAAGCGACTTCGAAGCCCAAGAAACGTGCTTCCAAGTTGCGAAACGTTCAGGAGTCACGCAAGGCCAAGGCAGCAGCGCAGATGCAAAGTGACATGGCCACCCTGCATACGTCAGCCGAGCGTGCCGCCTCAGCCCAACACCGCTTGTCTATGCACATTGACGATGTTCTCGCCGGTAAGCTACTTGTTGCCTGTCCCAGAGCCAACGGTATTTGATTTTATTGTTATTGTTATTATTATTATTATAATTATTTTTTCTTCTCTCGCACCATTATTTGGCCTCACACCATTTCAATTTGTTCTGGGTTCTGTTGCAGCGAGTGCTGCCGTGGACGATCAGCTGCAAGCCGATCGCGATGCATATGAAGCCGAGGTGCTGGCAAGTCACCAGGTGGAGGATGAAGGGTTGCAGGGTGCCAGTGAGCCTGCCGAGCTCATGGATACTGAGTTCTCCGACGCTGACGAGGATGAAGTTGAAGGGGAACCCGAGTTTATCGAAGCCAAATCGGTGGTGCAAGAAGAGGCATCGATTGAGCCGGACGCCCATGCAGAAGAACCGACAGAGGCTTCAACACCAAGCCCAGCAGACGGGGAAAAGCATGAGCAAGCCATGGCCGACGAACCCGCGGTGGAGGATTTTCAGGAGGGTGCCGAGGCGTCTCCACTTTGCGAGGAAGCGATGTCTGAGCCTGCTGCTGCAGAAGAATCTTCCCATGTCGACTCGGATCAGTCTGGAGAGCTTGAGACTGCTCAGGCAGAAGAGTCCGAGGAAGAGGTTTTGGTCGACGAGACTGCATCTGCCGATGTCAGTGCCAGCCCCCAAGTGGCCGAGGAATTCGAAGTTCAGGTCGTGGACATGGCGGACTCGGATTCTGAGCCTGAGGCGGAACGCAGCCTGGCTCAGGATGAGCTCGCTACTGAGGCACCGGCTTGGACTGCAAACATACAAATGGACGAGATGGCTTCAACCGAGGAGGGCGTTGTTGATCAAAACATGATTCAACTCGAGGACGACGAGCGCCATCAGGATTACGAGGTAACCGAGTCCAGCAACCACATGGTGTCCATGGATGATGATGACGATGATCTGGTCGACATGGCCTTTGCTGATGCCGATTTGTCCGGGTTGAGCGATGGCGAGGACCGCTCCGCGGAGGAAGAGCCTTTGAAGCAGGAGGAAGAGCCTTCGAAGCAGGAGGAAGAACCTTCGAAGCAGGAGGAAGAACCTTCGAAGCCAGCGGACGTTCTAATTGAAACTGCGCGTGAGGGTGCCAACGATGAGGCACCGTCACTGGTCGAGCAAGTCGATGCACCGACTGATGCCAAGCTTGCAGAGGACGCGAGCAACGAGCCACGTACCGAGGACTCTACAGAGCCTGCGGTGTCGGAGGACGACGAGTCGATTGCCCAAGTCGATGCTTTAATCTCAGAGGACGATGGAGCTGTTCGGGTTGACGCATCGATTGAAAAGGACGATGAGGTTGCCCAAGTCGTTGCATTGGTTGAGGACAAGCCCGCAGAGGGCGAGAGCGATGAGGAGGCCTCTCAAGAGGACAAGCCCGCAGCGGGCGAGAGCGATGAGGAGGCCCCTCAAATCGATGAATCTGCCGAGGACGAGGATGACGAGGAGATGGGCTTGGCTGAAGAGGCCGCGGCCCTATTCGGCGTGGCAAGTGCCGCAGCGGAGGCGTCCGCCGCGGCTGAGCATAGCGACGAGGACGACGATGATCTCTTCTCTGACACAGATCTGCCCGATGACCTTGAGGAGGAAGAGGCCGCGCCAGCCTCTTCTCGCTTGGACGTCAAGCAGCGCTTGGCGCAGATCGGCAAGACCGTGCTTGAGGAGTCCAAGAAGGAAGTCACGTCCAGTGAAGACGGGGAAGACGATGCCTGGGCCAATGACCCTGCCGCTGCCTCAGAGCATGCCTCAGACGAGTCCGATCAGCATGTCCCCATCGAAGGCGAGATGGCTGTTGTTGCTGATGGAACGACGATGGCTGCTGCAGACCTGATGGACTTTCACGAAATTGTTACGGATAGCCATGGCAAACGATATGTCCGTTCCATGGTCGGGCTGGTCCCGGTTGATGAAACCAAGGTGGCAGCGACTGAACTGGAACAGGCTGCGCCGGAGGCCGATGGTGCGGCAGCAACCGTGGAGCTACCTGAGCAGGCTGAGCAAGTGAAAGAAGACGAGCCCTCAAATGCCGATGATGTCACCCAAACCACGGGGCCCACGGCGGAAGCAGCCATCGATGCTTTGCGCGGTGCCCTGGGTGCCGATGACACTACTCCAGAAACAAAGCGAAAGAGCAAGTTTTCCAAGCGCGTGGGCAAGCTCTTTGGCCGAGGCAAGAAATCCAAATCCAAAAAGGATGGTGCTGATGACAAGTCTGGTATGCACAGCGCCTCTGCCTCGCTGTGATTGACCGTCCCAAATCGACGTCCCACATTTGCCCTCACGCTCATGAATGCCACTCATCTCCCCGTGTGTAGAGCAAGATGCAGATGCTGTCTCAGTAGCATCGTCTCAGGTGTCACATGCGTCGCAAGCAAAAGAGCCGGTGGCTCAGCCTGAGGAGGCAGCGTCTGAGGAAGAGCAGTATCCCAAGATCTTCAATGTTGAAGTGCACAAGGGGTCGGATCCGTTGGGCATGAAGATCAGCGCCAAGAAGGAGGCTGGTATGTGTGCATTGTACATGCTTTGTGGCTGCGCGCACCCTTCCACTCCCAACTCAATGTACATATTGATCTGTGCTTGTACAGGCGGTGATGAGGATGAGTTCTTTCCGCGCATCACCTTTTTGGAACTAAGTGGGGTAAGTTGCGCTGAAGTCGCATCTTCATTCCACTCAATCACGGGGCGTCTACAGTGCTTGTCCGTGTTCCTGCTCACTTCTTTATCTACGCTGTACAACAGGCGGTAGCTAAAACACACCGTGTTCTAGTTGGCGATCGCATCCTCGAGGTGAATGGCCACTCACTCAAAAACTTAGCGCACAAGGACGTCATTGCTTATTTGAAGGAGCCATCTCCAGTGATGCAGTTGCAGCTGCGCCGCGATGCTCCCAGCGTTGCCGATCAGCTGATGACAACCTTTGCGGCTGCTTCGGCCTCGTTCAACCCTGCTGAGCAACCCGCTCCAGCTGAGACTGCAGAAAGCACAGCAACACCTGCGGCCGCACCTGAGGCACCAGCAGATGGTGCTGATTCCTCCAAGCCTCGCAAGGGCCTATTCAAGTTTCTCGGTCGCAAGAACAAAAGCAAACACGTGTGTAGCTTGGCGTCGCTTCACCTCTTGTGGTTATAATATCTTTGTTTGGCTGCCCCATGCTTATGATCAACTTGCTTTCATCTTAGACTGGCACTGCCGACGGCGAAACAGCGAGCGTGCATTCTGGTGACGGACGGTGACGCGAACGAGCTTCTCTGCTGCCTTGAACCTGTATATCTAGTATTAGCTTCTGGAAGCAAAACGCCTCCGCAGCAGTTATCGTCAGTTGCCGCGGTTATGATTGTCAAGGCTGTTTATATGATGCAGAATGATGCAAATCATGAAAAGCAACGTTGACTAGGTTATCTTCAAAAATTTAACAAAAAAATCTTTTTTTTTCATATCAACAAATGTCGCTCTCCATGTCTATAGCGGCAAAGCTTGATTGATATGAACAGGTGGGACATACACGAATCGGAAACTACTCAGGGTCTCTATCTCTGAGCGGAAAGCCTCTGCTGCGTCCCGAATCTTGAGACGAGCCATCGTATTGTGGCATGTGGAGGTGTGGGTGTGGGTGTGGAGATGGCTGATGCAGCTGGGCATGCTCCAAGATGGCTGAGTGCGCATGCACATTCAGATTGTCTGAGGCAAACTCCTCAGCGTGATGACGATTGGCGAGGGCGGTGCTGAGGACATGGTCGTGTAGAGGAACTTCGTTGGCATCAGTTGCGCCCTCTTCATCAGCCGAGAGGTCTGGCTCAAGGTCCAGCTCGTCCAGTTCATTCGAGGTATCAGCACTGAGCGCATTTGTAAGTTGTCGGCGCACTGTAAGCCATAGGTCGGTTCAAGGACGGAGGTCGGCGAGGAGAAATGGATCACGTGAGACAAGGGCAACCGGTGCACAAACAAGTTCAAGGCATCGATGACGATACTATGCGGTGGGACAGACCACTAGCGTCATTTATAAAATGCTTGAGACGCGGGCTTGAATGTGTGAAGATCGAGCCGTCTTCAGTCGCAACAAGCAAAAGAACATCGCTGCCCGTAGAAACGGAAAGCTCATAGACGCCCTTCATCAGGGCTTTACGGCGTTTGGCACAGAGGCTGCGGCGCTTGGCGCGGTCTTTGATGTAGCTGGGCTTGCGTGAAATTTTGGGTGCTGCCACGGCGTGAGGTTCAACGAATTCGGTGGACAGCATTGATGTCCCGGCGTCCGTGGTCGGGGGCTTGGTGGAGGAGTCGCCGAGTTCCTCCTGGTTGGCTGCTGGGGCGCATGCAGCAGCGACATTGGGCCAAGGGATGAGGTTTGGAAGCTGGTGGTTGAGGGGCCTGAGAGGTGACGGGCGGCCAGCAAAAAGCACGAGGCGTCACCGTTGGAGGGCAGCGTAACCCACCTGATGGGGCAGTGAAAGGTAGGTATGCCCTCTGATGTGAGGCTTGTTGCGCTGCGGCCTTGGCTTGTTCGTGGTAATGGCTCTTGATGCGTTCAACGATTGAGACGGGCCGATCGGGCTGACCTGTGACCATGTGGCCATCGTGCGAGTGCGAGGCAGCAGCTGTGCGCGCGGGCCGGGTGCCGCGATCAAGAAGAACAAGCACCGACAAGGTTTGAAAGCCATTCGCAGCACACGACGAACATCAGGGTTGTGAGCACGAGATATACACACACGGAAGCGCGATAAATGCAAGCTGTGAGACCTACCTTGAAACGGCTCCGCCTGAACCAAGCGCTGCACACGCTCCATTTGCTCACGCTCCGCCTTGCTCAGACGCCGAGTTCGTTTGGCGCCCAATTGCTCGCCACCACCCATGGCGATGGCGATCAAGAGGCAAACGGTTTGATGGAGACGATGCAACAAGGGCTCTCTCTCTCCCTCTCCCTCTCCCTCTCTCTCTCTCTCTGTGCTACTGCATGATGTTGCGCACCGTTGTCGAGTCTATCTTCAAAATGATGACATCGCTTCGCCTCCTTGCCTCAACAATCCGCAGCCTCCCGCGACTCTCCCGCCTTGACGCGCCGACTCCCGCGCCGCGTGGAACCAGATCGTCCTTTCAATGCGAATGCGTGCGTGCGACTGCGTGACACCACAGCTTCTTGACAAAGTTGGCTTTTCAACCAAATGGAGTGGTCGTGGCCCTCCTATTTGAAATGCAGCCTTGGATTTGTCATCATTTTCCTTGTGGCGTTGCGTTGTTAAACGACAACGACGACGACGACGACGACGACGACGGGATTTGGTTCGTTTTGTAAATGGGTGGCGTGAGTCCATGCGGCAGAGGGACGGGTGCTGCTCTCTTGCACGTTGCAGGTGATGGTTTTGCGAGCATAGTGTGTGTTGAGGGGCATCTGCTGACGTGTGGCTTTGTCGACTGCAGACTTCCCAAACCACAATCATGAAGGTGACCGTGTTTTGGCAGGGCCTGCCTGGCCAGCTGGATTGTGCTAGCCGCAATTGCGACGCTGTTTTGGAGGCAGCGGAAGGTTTGACGGTGCGTTGTTTCAAGCCTTTGATGCTTTTGCGCATGTCAACTCTCCGCGAGGTGGCCTGACGCTTCTGTGCACGTGTATGTTGATGCTCTTGGATTCTTCATTTGCGCCTCCACAGGCCATTCCCCAACAACACTTACGCCTCTGGCAGCGCGGCCGCCTGATGAGCGGAAGTGAGGAGTTGTTTGACCATGAAGCAGCTACTCTTCGACTTCGCCTTTGTGGGGGCAAAGGAGGTAAGTGCGTCTGAATTGTTTGGATCACACCGCCAACGCCCCTTTGCCGTGATGATCAGCTGTTGACTTGTGATGCTCTGCTTTGCTACCATTCTGGGCTTTCACGACGCCAACTAGGCTTTGGCTCTTTGCTGCGTGCCCTTGGCAACAAGCGGTCGCACGCTGAGACTGACAATATTGACGTACGTGCAGGCTGGCCTTGATATCTGGCCTTGTACTCGCTTTTCGGTTTGCAATTTCATCATCAACTTTGCTTTTTCCAGGCCTGTCGTGATTTGTCTGGCCGCCGCTTGCGGGACGTCAACGATGAGAAAAAAATCAAGCAATGGCTCAAGGAGCAAGCGGAGAAGGAGGACGAAGTCAAGGCACGCCGACAGGCCAAGGTTCGATCAGCAAATTCACGGTCCCAGTCTGTGCCCTGTTCCTGCGGGCCAGCCTTACACACTGCCGATCGATTGCCTGTTTTGTTTGGTTTTTTGTTTTGCTTTTTTTTTCTATTTTAGCTGGAGCGTGCAGTTGCTGTACCCAAACACGCTTTTGATGACCATTCTTTCCACGTGGAGTTGGATGAGAAGTCGCGGTTGATTGCTGATGCCGTCAAGGCTGGTAAGTTTCTTTGTCAGGCGTTGCCCATGCTTGTTTGACGCGCTGCAAATTCCTGACTCTCGTCTTGGGCTGCCTAGCTGCGGCTGCAGGCCATGTTCAAGCGCCAGTGGCATCAGAGCCGCCTAAACGCAAGACGGCGGCCTTGCAGTTCGTTTTCTGGCCAGAACTCCCTTATTTGCCAGTGTACATTGTTGCTTCTCGTTCATGTCATTGGTTCGCAACTTCTTAGGGATGAATGGGATTCGGACGACGTTAGCGACTCGGACGAAGAAGAGGCAACCAAGAGCGACAGCACGCAAGCCTCATCCGCCGCTGCCAGTGGTGGGGAGCCCGATGCCAAGAAGAACAAGGAACAAGTCGATGCAAAGTAGGAGCTGCATGGTGTGTTTTGTTTTGTATTCATCTCTCTTCTTTTTTTTTTTTTTTTCTTCGCTGTGAACCACAAAGCGCAAGCCATTTGTTCTTGCATGTGGTAAAACCGTGGCACTACTTGTTCACACACACACACACACACACACTCACACACACACACACACACACACACACACACACACACATGAATGAACCAAGATGCGATGATTGTTGAGGATGATTGGAGTTGCAACACACAGCGTAAATGGCATCGATTGGACAAGTGGCCAAGATAGGCTTGGCGAATCAAAAAAATCGGCAGGGAGAAACTTGAGATGCCCCCATCAAGTGAGCTGGATTTTAGAAACATTCACCTCGCCAGATGATTCAAAGGTGGCTCGATAGAAATAACCCTCTGCGCTCACCGCTGTGACCCAGTATCAGTATGACCAACACAAATGAGAATGCTTCGTTTCGACGCGAGGCAGCATTCGACCTGTTCTGCCTTCAACCACCATTGTCACGCACCAATAACTTGATTATCGGCCTCGCCAAACGCGCAAATCGCATATGCTGAAGGAATCGCAAACTTGGCAAAGCTCCATTGCGAACTGAAATACTTGGGCAACACGGACGGCAATCTAGAACCAGGCCCACGTCGTGATTTACAGATCCGCAGTCGTGAGCGCACAAGCACACAGCCACATGGTCGGTAGTCTGAGGGGGCACGGGGCGTGAAGCAGTTGGAGAAGGAGGGAGCTCAACGCACAAGCTGCTGGCGGCAACAGCCTCCTGATCATGCAAGGAGAAGACGTGGACGGTCCCGTGGTCACTAAAGTGGTTTCAAGGGGCCAGGCATAAGAGCCATTTCTTGAACCAGACCCTGATAAAATATTCTTGCGCACAGAAAACGAGTGATACCTGGCACAGCAGAGATGGGTGCTCCGACGACTGAAGCGAATGCTATCGGGCAAGAGAGAAAGAAAGAGACTTGAGCAAGGGACAGTCGGTCGTCTGCGCACGGGTCGCATTTGGAAGCAGGAGGTGCACCTGTATATCCGGGCACGTTCGGTGCCACGCCGCACTTCGTGCAGTTTTTTGCCTGTTTCAGTGTCAAAGACCCGAATCAGGGTACCCTGCGCAGCCAATCAATGGTATAAGTTGATAAGAACTGGTGACAACGTAGCACGATATCGCCAACTAAAAGCAATTCAATCCAACATCACATGCTCGGCACCTGCCTTTTCTGAGGCCGTGGCAACTTTTGTACCGTCCTATGTGGATCGCCAGACAATCGATTACGGACATGCGCATACATTCGGATAGTCTTGGAAGTGAGCATGTTCGCACACTCGAGGGTAGAACATACCTCGTTTAATTGTACTTGAGCCAAAGCTGTTTCGTGAGCGGCCACGATTAGCGGGGCCTCGGAGCTTTGCGCAAGATTGCACAAGGCCAGCTGATGTTTTGTATCACCACGCGTGTACATGAGCATGTGATCCTCATTTATGCACGCGAGCGGGTCAACTGAGGTAGATGCGCAGCTCGACTGGATCAAATGTCGAGCTTTTTGTTTTTCTCTGGGGGGTTGTATATTTACGAAGGATGAGAGAGCAGAGGGACGCACCTGTCCTGGTTCGGGTCCCATGGCGGCTAAAACTGGCCGTCTATCATCTGGACATAGGCTTGCCAAACCTTTTTGCGGGCAGTTACTCGTGTGAGCGCTCAGAGGACAACGCTACACTCAAACATTTGTAAGGTGGCCTGGCCAGAACTTACCAAGCGGGTTGGAACAAGTGCGATAGGAATGCAGCAGCGTTGGAGTGGCCGTGAGAGAGTAGACATCCGTGCTGTGATCAAGAACAACCACAATTCTACAGGTGGCGAGCGTGGGAACGGAGCATGTCCCAAAAACACCGTGGTATACGGGTGCGCCTGTGTGAGTCGCGAACCGAGCTGAGGAGCAAGGGCGAACCGAGCAGCCACACTAACCGGTCCTTGCGCAAGCGAACGCTACGGGCTTCGGAGGGACATTCAATTTCTGCAGCCATGGACTGAGAGCGATCGTCCCAAAGTACCACTGCGGCAACGCACATGCGAACCAAGACCAGACACCAACCAGATGATACCCAAGGTGAATGGCTGGGTTGTGTAGCATGCACGAACGAGGCGAAGGCAGAGCTGCCATGTTGACGAATGCTCACAAACGCACCTTTGTTGGTCGGGAAGCTGGGACGATCAGTCCCACCAATTAGGGCAATGTAGTTGCAACGAAAGAGCATCTCGGCATAGCCCAACCCCCCACTGCTGAAGCTGCGCGAAATTTTCTGCTCGAGAGGGGCGACCGAGTAGACCTTGAAGCCGCGGTGCGTGCACAAGATGAAGCAAGCTAAATTGTGGCAGCCATCAACAGAAAAGCATTATAAAACGAACTTCTGCCGCTGATAGCTGCCCATGCGCTGTTGAACAACCCTCGATGGTTTCTGGTAACGTGCTCTTCGCGCAAGTGTCCTCGGATTGGCGCAATGAGCGAGCAGGGCCACTCACTTTCATCCTGATTCCACTCGATGTGGGTCACCTGAGCGGCGTCGACCGCCATGCTGATTCGCCACTGCTAAGTTGCTATGGCATTCGTATGCCATCACGACCGGTTAGACCGCTGTCGCCGCCACACAATGTCGACCGACATTCAAAGCAGACGCTCGTGGTGGGACTTGGGAAAACACACCTGCTACCTCTTCGCTAGTCATCAAGCACCGACCGACCAGGTACACAGCTAGTGTCTGTGGCCCTTTGGTATTCTCGCCTTCTCAGGACCGCCCGTCCCTGCAGCGCTCGCTCATGTGCTTGAACTCGGCTCGCTGTGCACTGTTGCCTCTTGAAACATGCGCGCGCCTGACACTCTCATGTGCTGATTCCCGATAATTGTCGCTGTTTGTGTGAAAGTTTCACTCAAACCAACAAAAAAAAAAAAAAAAAAAAAGGCAAGCTGAAATGTCTTTTGCACTTCTTGGATTTTACTACGATCCGGATGTAACAACATGTAAAGCTTCCACCACACTCACATCACATGTCAATCACAATTATTTTTCTTCTCACCTACACGGCACTCTTCGCCTTTCGCCTTTGGCCCAAGTGCTTTGCTACCTTCTCCCTTCGCCCACAGCGCTGTCAAGGCCGAAAGAGACAAGGTGCAAGGCAGTCCATGCCCGAACATAATAGTGGACGTGCAGACGCTGAATGTTAACGACGCTCTGCGGGCGCTGGGGAACGACTTGTTTGCCGTTTCCGGTCCGGGGAGGGACTTTTGCGTCGGCTTCCTCGCATGTGACGGAATTTGCGTCTACAAGGATACCCAAGACTCGTGAGCACTGCTGCTTCGCTTCGACGGTGAGGTGCCAATGGGGCAGACAACCCTTGTTGGCCTAGGGGATCCAGCCACGGCAGTGTGCATGCACTCGTGCTGGGCATCAAGTTCTTGAGACCTGGCTGCTTACTTGAAATGCCGATCGAGAGCACCGGCACGCCAGCCCTCGATATTGCGCTTCTCTGAATTGGCTTCAAAAAAGCTCTGTGTGCAGATGGCATGCCTTGGTAAAAGCCCTGGGGCGCAGGTGTTGATCACGCGCTGTCAATGCAAACCATACCTCCAACGCCTCTGTGAGCTCCTTTGTGTCCGCAGGCAGAGCAGAAAACGCCAGGCGCGACGTGTTGATTGGCTCTCGGTAGTGATCCTCTTCCTGGGAATTCCAAAGCATCGCCCACCAAGGACCAACACGTGCACATGAATCCAAGAAGCCAAGCAAGGATAGGATTACATCACCGCGCTGCAAGACCGGTGGGAGGCCATGTCAAGGCGACGAGGCAAACCTGGATGAGATTAATCATAAGAGCGGCGGGCAGTTGGTCATAAGGGGCATCTTCGGGTGGGTTGTAGGGGGTCATGGGAGGTGGGGAGGCCGCCTTGCCATCGCGGGAGATCCGCTGGCTAGTCTGACTCGTTGCACGGCCTGCAGCCGTAACGGGCGCCTCGATCCATCCATCGTCTTCCCACAAGCGCTTAATCTAAGTGAGCACGACAATGCAACGACGCGTGTTGGCAGTTGGGCCTCTTGCAGAGCCAAACGTGGCGAGGACACTTGGAAACCCTACCGCGGTCAATCGGCTCAAGGCGGCCGCTGGGGCCGTTTGCTCTAACACCTTGAGTATGTTGGGCAAGGCATTCAGTAGCTCGGTGGGTGCTTCCCATCCCAAGGCAATCCTGTCCCGCGCCACGAGCCGCGCAGGACACATCAGGCCAAACGAGCACGGCTTGTTCAAGATCAGAGCGCATGCCAGAGCGCGACAAACCATTGATGAAGCACGTCGGAAATGTAGTAAAGCACGCCAACGTTGGAGGCGTGCTGCGGGACGTAGGCCACAAGATGGGCGCTGAGTTGGGCCAACGCCAGGTTGTCTCGACACACCTCAAAGGTCCACTGCACTGCTGCCTAGCAAAAGCAGAAGTAGCAGGTCCAGCAGCAAGCGCCAGAGCCATCGATGTCATGAGTTTGTCCATTTTATTTCGAGGCGTGGTGTACTGGCTGTTTGCCAGCACCAGGCAGAAAACTGGGCCTCCTGCTCACCTGGACGGCTGCGTAGGATGCTTGATGCTGGAGCGGGGCCAGCAGCTCGTCGAGTTCGGGCAAGGCTTGTTGCAGGGATGGCACGGCGGGCGATTGACTTGCCGCCATGGCCTCGGGTTAACATCCAACGCCCTCTATGAAAGCCAGTCAAAATGACTCTTGTGTGCGACAAGAACAAGCAATGCCTGCTGAGGTGGACCTTCCGCCACCGCCCCCGACTCGTCGCAAGATGCGTCTGGGCCTCGAGGGCTGCAGGCAGCTCATCGGCAGACACCACTACCAAATGAAATCAGATCCTGTCGTTGTCAGACGAATGTCAGCTTCCGATGTTGACCAGCATGCATGCATGTACAAGGGTCTGGGGCTGGTGCGGGCTGATACCAGGCCATTTTTTGAACGCTGTGCAGTCACTTGCAGTCAATGAGCGTGCATGGATGACTCTATTCAAGCCATAAGTCTACGGCCTGTTGGTCGACACTTGCAAGAGCATTGATAAGAGTGCCCATGGCCGATAGCCCCAGTGCGAGCATCTCATTTGCGTGACATCAAGCATGGTGCGTGTATGCATCTTCACACATCGATCGCGTCTCGAGTCAACAAACACCGCCCAACAAGTTCGCACGACTCACCGAGCCAGAGGTTGCCCAGTGACGCGCCAGTTTGCACGGACCACCACCCCAGAAGGCCAAAGGTGGGGCATCGCACAGCGACCATGGAGCTTGATGCTTCAGCTTGGCTTATTGGGAGGATTTTGATGCTGGTACCTCATGTTTTCCCTTCTGCAGAGAAGCGGCTTGTCCGGAAAAACCACGCATCCAGGGAGCGGTGGATCAATTTCCTGCCTTGGCAAGAGATGAGACCCGAGTCTCATCTCCCGGACCACCTGCAGCCCTCGCCTCTTTTCGATCAGATGGTGCCGTGCAAGACGCCATACTGACCGTGTCCCAGCTGCCCCCACCCCCCCTCATCGGTGACAGCGAGTCAAATCAGGAGAGGTGGCAACAACGTCAAGCGTCATGGGCAGCAGCGGATTGGCAGCTCGGCTCCGAGCTCTTTTCCGGGCCCTCGACGATGATGATAGCGGTACTATCGAAGCCGATGAGCTGCGTCTGGTTCTCAAGCGCCTCGATGTGCCTCTTGATCAACAAGAGCAGCAGGTATGGTTGTTGATGGTTTCGTCATCGCCAGCTGAGATTATCGCCTCGCGTGTGCCCAATCTGTCACGTTGGGCAGTCTGGTCGCCTCACCTTCCGGTGGTGCCGGCTCTCGTGGCCCGTCACTTTGTAGCTGGGTTTGCTCATGAACGTGCTGGACTCGGATCGCGATGGCACTGTCACTCTCGACGAGTTTTTGGCCAACGCGGGCAAATTTGACATTTTCCTCGATGACGGTCAGTGGGCCCCGGCACCTCATGTTGCAACATGCCGACCACTCGTGCGCCCGGTTCGTCCGTATTTTGTCTCGCGCTCACTCTGAATGTATCGCACACATGATAACTGCTAGACACTCGACGCTTGCGACAAACCTTGGCAGTGCGGGCGTGTGCTCTTTTTGATCAGCTTGACACGGACAGCTCTGATTCTCTTGATCGCACAGAGCTTGAGCAGCTCCTACGCGGTCAGAAGAAATCCTGCTCGACTGGCCGCCCGTTGGTGGTCACACTTACCAGTCACTTGCCACCTGCTCATGTCTCTGCACCTGCATGCCACTTACTTCTCCCTAGGCCTGGGTGCCGATCGGAATGGCGAGCATGCCTTTCAATTGTTTGTACAAGAGCTCATGAGTCAGCTCGACCAAGATCAAAACAACCTGGTTGAGCGGGAGGAATTTGTGGGCGCGCTGCAACGCGGTGTCTTGGATGCCGTCATTCAAGCTGAGGAAGATATCATTGCATTTGTCGAACATGGCGACTTGACCCAATCACATGCCCTGACCTCAGAACAGCGCGCTGCAATTGCCCAGCGTACAGCCGAGCGTCAACTTCCGCCACGTGCAGCCGCCAATGCGGACCTCGATGGTGGGTCAACACATAAGTCACAAAGTCATGTGCCAACACCTCACCTATTCTCATGTGCCCGACAAAGACTTTTTTTTTTGGGGGGGGGGGGAGGGGGGGCAGCTTGAGATCCAACGCTCACTTTTTTTTTTTTCTTCCCCACCCGCTGACGTCGCTCCCACGCAGATGACAGCTATAGCTATCTTTGGCAGATGTTTAACATTGCGGATGAGGATGGGTCGGGCGCTATAGATAGCCTTGAATTACAAGCCTTATTGGCTGACGAAACTTTAATGGGGCCTACGGCACACGTCATGAACCAGGAGATGGTCAACTGCATCCTTCGAGAAATCGATGATGAGTGAGTACAGGCACCTCGCACCTAATGCACGCATCTCCTGCCCTACGATATTTTGATACTCGTTCCCTTGGAAGATGTGCACTCGTGCACATGGTCCCCCCGGATGTTGACAATGGTATGCTCAGTCTTAACCATTTGTACCGATGCTACTGTTGACAGTGATTCGGGAGAGCTCGACTTTCAAGAATTTTGCGTTGCCTTCCGGGAGGTATTCTTTCAGAAGAAACGGGGCGCAGGCAGCATTTTACAAGCCCAATTTCGCACGCTCGTACAACAGTATCTTGACCTCAAAATGGACTACGGTGAAGCCAAGCAAATGTTTGCCGATTATCGCCGAACCCACGACCAACAAACGAATCAACAAATTGATAGCCTGCGCCTTGAAGTGGAGCGTGCAGACCAGGATCGAGCGGCTTGCGCAGAAGAATTGGATGCCTCCAAACAAATGTGCGCCAGCAAAGAGGCCACTATCTGCGATCTTGAAAGCGAGCTAGACGCCACTCGCCGCGAGCTTGAGCGCTATGAAGATGAAGTGCGACGCATGAAGGCTTTGGTATGCTCTTTGCCCCTCGTCCCCCGTGGTTTTGCTGGACTTTGTTTCGCACCGCTTGCACTTGCTTCTTGATTGCCGACCTAACCGGATGCTTGTTCATTTTTAGATGGCTCGAGGTAGCTTGGTCAGCGAAGATGGCACGCTCGTTGACGTGGACACTCAACTGAACCAATATCGCCAAGAGTTGCGCGATGTCCATGCCTTGCATGAGCATGAAAACAACCAGTTTTATCTTCAGTTGGCTTTGACACAGCTCCAGTTTGAGGACCTGGGCGAAGAAATGCTCTTGACTGACTATTTTCAAGACGGCCACTCCTTTCTCAGCGAGATCAGTGATGAGCAACGGGCTGAGCTCATGCGGCTTAAGCAAGCACACTTTGCAAACCGCGCAACTCCGCTGGTGACCTGGCCAGCGCTCGAGGAAATGGATCAGGAGGACATTGTTCGCAAGCTACAGCATGACAATGCGGTCATGAGCGAGCGGTTTGAAGCTTACCGCAGTGCTCAGCAAGAGTTGCGCGCCACCCTTGAAAAGCAACTCACCGTTGCCCAGACAACAATCAAGGAGCTTGAGGGCCGCCTCGAACTATTTCAAGTAGAAACACAACGCCTTTTCAATGAGCGTGAAGCCCACTGGGCTGGCGAGGTAGATGCTCTTCGTCAGGAACTGCAGCAAGAACAAGAGGACGCGCAGCACTGGCGCCAACACCTTGCGGAAAGCAGCCTCACTGCCAAGGTTCGTTTAGTCGCTCTAGCTGACGCACGCACGCACGCACGCACGCACGCACACGCATATGCACACAATCTTGCACACCCGTTTCCTGCGTTTACATGTGATGGCGCCCGGAACTCGTTCTAGCGCTCACCTCTTGCTGATGTTCTTGTATACTTTACACGTAGGTTCGGCGTGCCAAATTGGCTCTCATGGGTGAAGAAGCCATGGCAGCTCGCATTGACGAGCTCCAAATTGAGAACGCTGCCCTGATCAAGCAAATCGAGGCGCGTGAGGAGGATCTGATGAACTCAACCTCTTCCGCCGGGCTGCAGGATGAGCAGCAGCGAGAACTTGCACAAAATTTGGCAGAGCTTCACGCCTCTCATGACGAGCTGACGCAACAGGTGGACACACTTCAGGTGGCGCTGGATGAGCAAATCAAGCAGAATCAAGAGCTACGAGCTCAAGCGGCAGAGCTCGAGCGCTTGCGCTCGGAACTTGATGCAGTCAGTGAGCATCGAATGGCAGCAGAGAAGGAAGCCCAGGCAGCCCTGGACCGGCTACGACTGGAAATGAGCAGTGAGCACAAACGTCAACTTGCGGATCTTGAAGCCGCACTGGCCGCCAGCCACACTGCAATCAAGGAATCAGAAGACAAATTACACGCTGCCTGCAAGGAGCATGAAGCACACCGCCACTCCTCCGGCTCGCGAATCGAAGAACTGGAAGCCAGTGTGTTCAAGTATGAATCGACCATGCAGATGATGATCGAATCTGAACAGTCAACGCAGGAAGAGCGTTGCCGCACGTCGGAGGAACTGATTCAACTCAACGGCAACTTGCGGCAGCGTGATACGGAGCTCAACAACCTACGTCAAGAACTCAATCGTGCGCAAGTTGAAGCTCGTGAGGCTCTGCATAAACACGATGAGCTGTACAGTAGCCTGCAAGCCGTTATGGAGCGCAACGCTCAGCTTGAGGCTCAACTTGAGCGGCTTAAGCAGGAGGGTGATGAAAGCTTGGAGCAGGTCACAGCGCGTGCCAAAGCCACAGAGCTCGAGCACAGCAACGCCGCCCAAGCTCTTGCCACACAACTTGCTGATCTGCAGACCCAACTCGAGGCCGAAAAGCGCGCAACAAAGGCTTTACAGACGGAGCTGCTAGCAGCTCAAGAGCATCAGGACATGGTGTCCGCCAAGGCTAAACGCTCATTGGAACAGGTCCAGCAAGCGTTAGAGGACGAGCGGTCTGAATGGCGAGCCGAGTCAGTTCGCATGCATGAGGAGGCTATTCGTGCACGCACTGAGAAAGACGACGAGCTGGCTACTCTTCAGGGTCGGATCAGTGAGCTTGAATTGCTCGTGGCCAAGTTTCGCCAGAAAGAAGAGGCTTTGCAGCAGACTGGTGATGCAACGCGACAAGAGCTTGAGGCGAAAGTCAACAATCTGCAACAACAATTGGATGAAGCTGAGGCGCGACTTGT